ATGGGGGAAACGCAACAGCTCCATTTATTGACCATGTACTGTTCACCCACATGACTAGTCGTTGTGTGAAAAGCACTTAGCACAGTGCCTAGCAGTGGCTAAGTGCTCAAATAACGTGCGGGCCAGCATACGGTTGTTGTTTTATTAATTTGTGCTCCAGACCAAGGTGGGCCCCCAGGCAGGAGCCGTGGCCCAAGCAGCCACCTGGGCACAGACACACTGCCCCCTGGTGCAACTGCTGGGAATCAGCACCTGGGAGAAGAGCTATTCAAGCCACAAGCTCACATAAGGCCCCCCATCTGCATCTGTCAGGCCCTGGGCCCACCCACCCAGCCAAAGCTCCAACCCCATCACACCAGCCTGGGGATGGCCAGCGGGGCCTGCTGGGTGCTGGCCCCGGAGGGAGAGCCCTGAGCCTGGAGCCGCAGTCCCCTCTGTTGCCAGGCAGAGCCTGGGAGCTCGGGGCTCCTCTCTGCGGCTGCCCAGCCAAGTGGAGCAGCGGCTTTCTGTTCCCTCCGCAGGGTCCTGAGCAAGCAAAGCGGGGCTCAGGCTAAAACCCTGGGAGGCAGAGGCAAGGGCAGCTGTCAGTTACAGGGTGGAGGAAGCTTGGCCTCCGTGGTTGAGCACAACTGTATCTCCTCCTAAAAGAGCACCCGAGGCAGCCCTGCAGCCTCTTCCACATACAGCCCTGCCCCTCCCCCAAGAGGAGAGGTTGTTGTAATGCCCTGTCCTCTCCCCGCCACCCCCCCGCACCACCCCCGCCACGGAGCGGACTCTGTTTCCTGGGGCAGGGACAGAGAGTGCTGGTAGAACGCAGTGACTCAGGGAGGCCCACAGGCCCCACAAAGGATCCGAAAAGCAGCTGGGCAGCCTTGCTTTCCTGCAGGGGGAGGGTCCGAGGAGTGGCCCCCGGAAAAGTCTTTTCAAATTACCCAGCAGGGCTGATTTCTGAGATCAGCTGGTGGGTCCGAGGGAGGGGGGTGCTAGTGACCTTGGGAGGGTCTAGCGAGGACTCAGTGCCTGGCTCACCCTGAATAAAGCACCTTGAAAAACCCCAGATCATCCCGACGTCAAAAGACTATTTAGCGCAGCGCAAGGCAGAATTAAGACGAAATTAAACTCGAGCTGAAGAAGGAGGGATGCCTGGGCTGACAGGAGCAGCTGGGTTTGAACGTGGATGCAGAAATTCCTCAGGTCCGTGCTCTCTAAGACCCCTCGGGCTACTCCCAGGTCTTGTCTGGAGCTATTTACTTCCAGGGGGGAAACCCCTATTGATCTTCACTCAGCTCCTGTCTGCTTCTACAAGGCGGTGATGTTTCAGCGCATCACCAGTCACTGCGAGGGATTTCTCATTGTTTTACAGGCAGCAGCTTCCAAACTCAAGAGATGAACGTTCAGGACCATTTGGGAGAAATCATGGGAGGAGGTGCAGATGGAGCTGGTTTGGGAATTCGGGGGGCGGGGTGGTACCTCACTTCCCTGGGACAGACTGCAAGTGCCTGCTGGGCCCCCCAACTGAGGATCCGGGAGCCTCATAGCTCCAATCTACTTCGCCTGTAGATGCTCAGAGAGTCGGGAGCTCAGGCAGCCGTTCCCTCCGCCCCTGTCTTCCCCCCCTCACCCCCCTACCTCCGCCGCCCACACACACACAAACACTCACGCACACCTGCTTTATGTCTCTGCAGTCATTTGGCTCTGAACCTCACCCCTGGCTGGCTAGAGATCAGCACCATCCATTCGAGCTCCCCAGCTGCTGCCACCGCTGTCTGATTCCCTTTTCAAATTCCAGGCTGGCCCTCGATCCTACAGCATGTATGTAACATGAGGGAGCCCCATGAACCACGATGAATCTAAGCAGCAGATCCACACCGGTGCAGACATCCCCACCACCCTGCACTAAGGGGAATCTGGGAGCCACGAAATCGCCCGAACCATCACGGCCAACCCAACGAAACAGGCTCTGGGTTGAGGGAGAGCACAATGTGAACAAAGTGGGCCAGTGAACTGGGGGAAGATAGAGGGGGAAAAAAACACACAAAAAACCAGGGCTCCTGGCTCCCCGGCTAGGGACCCTCCCCTTCAGGCTCTGAGTCATGTAACCAGAAAATCCAGGTCCCCACATGAGGTTCCTGGGCCCTTTTGGCTGAGAAGACCCATGCATTAAACTGCTTTCCATGACTGAAGACCAGCATCCACCTGAACAATAATAGCGACGATGATGATGATGATAATAATAGCAAAATGCTGCACAGTATGCCTTGCAAACCTTCAGTGAGCAGTACCTGATAATCACACGCAGAATACATCTTTCCACATATTCATATGAAATAATCGATGATCATTTTTCCACCCGCGGACTACAATCCAATTACTCTCTCTCCCTCACTCTCCTTTGTTACTTGCAAACCATCCGAGCAATCAATGCCTTGACCTCTCCCTCTGATAGACACAATTACAAAAAGACAGAGCAATGCAATTCATCTATTCAAGACGGGTTGTTTGAACACTCTGTCACGCTGCTGGGCTATCCATCTCCTTGTCTAAGAGGAGATTTCAGCCCCCAAACGAGGCACAAAGAGAGGGGGCGGTACACTGCTCCCCAGCCCACAGAGTCCTTTGCACACCTGCAGGAAACCCTCTCCCTGGCTGGTGCTCGCCACGCCTGCCTGCCTGCCTGCCTGCCTGCCTGCTGGAGAAGGATTCGGCTCCCAGCGGCTTAGGCACCCATCTCGGGAACCAGGGACACAGCACACTTCTGAGCCCAATTTCTGGGGCCTCCATTCCTGCAGCTCCAGCCAGAGCCTTGAGATCACAGGGGTGAGGAGGGAGGAGAAAGGGGAGATGGCATGGGGCCCAGCCAGGGCGGTATGTTTGGGTTTCGGCAAGAGAATCTTTCTCTCTCTGTGCTGTGTCCACTGTAGTTGCCTGACGCCAGCTGAGGCTTGAGCCCGGGCTCAGAAGGATGGGAGTTCAACTCCCCAGCAGGCTCCAGAGAAGCCCAGTGGCCCCAGAGCCTTCCCATCCTCCGCCCAAACTGGCACGGCGCTGGTGGTCACATATGGCACCCGCAAGGCAAACCAGTCCTCCGGCTGAAAATCAAATGGGGCCAGGTTCTCTGATACAAATGGCCTGGGCCGACACGCTAATTAATCCTGGGGCTTAATAGAAGGAGATTAGAAGAGAAGAGGGCTTTGCTGTCCTTAATTGCATTATTACATGCTGAACCCAAGAAAGGGCAGGCGGGTTTGAGGCTTCCCCTCAGGCCCTGAGGTGCAAGTCCATTTCGCAGGGGGAGGGGCAGGTGAGGGTACCTTATCCTGCCCCTCTTCCGCTGGTTCCTCTGCAGCTGGCCTCCCCTGCTCCTGTTTTCTGGGGCCCCAAAGACCTCCATCCCTAAGGCCGGGCTGGGAGCATGCCCATCCCATCCCTGCAGAGGAAAGAGGACCCTGCAATGCGTGAGCCGAGCACTTAGCACCTTTCCTCCCCCATTTCCTCCCGAGAGCCCCCCCCCCCAAAAAAAAACAGAGGGAAGGAAGCATGGAATAAAGAAAGGACTGGCCCACTACCAAGGGGCTGCGTGCCCCTAGAATGGTGACCACACTGGGCACTGGGGCAGAGACAGGGATATTTTTGGCTTGCCAGGAACACCCTGCACTGCAAAGGGTTTCAGTCACTGGGCTCCTCTGCCTTCCCATGTGCACCTGCCGGGATCTGGGCACGGAATGAAAGCCCCGGCCAGGGCACTGCGTCTACCACCATCCAGACAGCGAGTTCCAGAGGGTCTGGGGATCCTGGAGAGAGAGGCGGAGGAGACAGATTCCCACGATCTGACCGCCTCCTGGGAAAATCCTCAAGTACGAAGCCAAACCCGACACTGGTTCCCTGCACGCCCTGGCAACCCAGGGGCCGCACCTGGAGGAGAGCCACAGGGGAGGAAGGCAGCTCTGGCTCAGCAAAGCGCTGCCCGCTCGCTGCCTCGTGCCAGACGCTGGCGGCTGTGCCTCGCGAACCCAGGCGGCCCAGGTCTCCGGCCTGGCGGCGGGTGCAGGGCCTTCGTGACGGAGGCTCCCGCGGGGCCAGGCCCCGCCTGGCCCTGGGACAAGCAGCGCCCCACCCCTTACCCCCAACCCCGCACAGCCCAGAGCAATGCCTTCAGGGCGCTGGCCACAACAAAGTTGAAGCCGGAGTGAGTATCTCTGGCGATGAGGAGAGATGCGGAGACGCAGGAGCCCAGGAAAGCTGCTCGCAGCCCCGCCAGCCGCCGCCAGCTGCGGAGGGGTTTCCGCTAACTTTAAAAGCCGCTCGCGTCCCTCCTCTCCTCGCCTTCCCTCTCTTCTTCGCGCTGGGGAGGCTCGATGGCTCCCTTCCTCCACCTGCGCTGCCCCCAGGCCCCAGGCCCGAGAGGCCTGGGCCGCGAGGGGCTGCCGCTCCCCTGCCCCATGCCACGGGGCCGAATGCGGGCCACCAACGCCAAGGGCGGCCCCGGGCGCGGAGCTGGCTGCCCGGTCATGCGAAGCTATACCCTGCGTACCCACAGCGGCCGCTAGAGCCATGCCCTGGGCAGGGGCGAGGGGCCCCGGGGGAGCGAGGCGGGGAGAGAAGTTGGCGCCTTCCCCAGGGCTCCGCTCCGCAGAGAAGCGGGTCCCAGAACTCGGTCTGCAGCCTGTCGTGCCGGCAGGCGCCAGGAGCTGCGCCCGCCACTCGCCACTCGGGTTGGGGCCGGAACGCTCAGCGAGGTCTGGCCTCCCTCCCGGGAGCGCTCCAAGGGCCCCGCGCCCTCGCCCCCTCGGCCCCCGCGGCCCGGTTGCCTCCTTCCCAATAAGTAAGGCCTGTGACCCCGGCTTTGGAACTTTGTCCTTACCAGGAAGAGCTCCAGGGCCGGCCCTAACCGCCAGGAAAGGTTGGGGGGGAGGGAATCCCTTAGGGTCGTGTCCAGAGGCCCCCCATTCCCGTCCCCGCCCGCCCGGCGCACGGAGACCACAGCTCCGGGGAGCGCTTACCGATCCGGATGACGTGGGGCATCCCGCGCGAGTCCGGGATCCAAAGGGCGCACACGAGGAGCCCGGCCCAGTATTCCCACACCAGTCTCCGGAGGCGCCGCCAGGGAGCGGTCATCGTTGGGCGCCGCCGAGCGTGCCCGGGGCGCGGCCGTGGCGGGCGGGCTCCCCGGGGCGGCAGCTCTAGGCGCGGGCGCGCTGCAGCCCCCGAGGCGCCGCCTGGCCCAGCCGCCCGGCTCCCGAGCGCCGAAGCGAGTAGGGGGCGCCCCGCGGCGCCGCGCACATCTTACTGGGGGGCCGCCCCGCCGGCGCCTGCCCCGCCCGCCCGGCTGCCGCCCACGGGCCGCCCGCTAGCGAGGCTCCTGCGCTCCGCCCGAGCCCCGCTCGGACTCGACTCCCGCTCGCGTCGGTTCGGCTCCCTCCCGCGGGCTCCCACCTGCCCGGGCTGCCGGGCTGCCGGGCGCTGGCGGGCGGGCTGCACGCGCCTCGGCCGCTCCTCCTCCCGCCGCCGCCGATGCTATCGGCCCGGCTCGCACAAAGCCCCGGAGTGGAGCTGCACGCGCGCACACACTCCCGCCCAGCCCCCGCCCCGCGCCCTGCCGCCCGCCTCCCTCCCGCGCCGCCCGCTCCCTCCGCGCACACACACTTCACACTCACACCAGCCGCGGCCACACTCGCGCGCTCACACCTGCGCAGGGGGCGGGGAAGGGGATCTTGGACGCGGGTTTTGTGTTTTCTTTGGGGGGAGCGCCCCTAAAGCGAGGACCCTCCTCGATCCCCAGACGTCCCCACCCGCCTGCCAGTTCCTAGTCCCTTCAACTGCGAGGGCACGGAGCCCGGGAGCCGGGCGCGGAGCCGGAGAGCTGGCACCGGCAGCTGGGAGACGCGGCAGCGCAGCGGCTCAACCTGCCAGACCTGCTGGAGGAGACGCGCCCGCCGCCGCCGGGAGCAGAGGGACCCGGAGCCCACCGTCGGCGGAGGCTCGCTGTCCAGCTAGCTCGCTGCTGGGACTGGCTGGACGGCAGCTGCCAGAGAATGACCAGCAACGGGTTCCCTCCCTAATCCCAGCCCTTATGGAATCAGAGTTGGCTGGGGCTGGGGCTGGGCTGGGGGTGACAGAATTCAAAGGGAATTGCCCAAGCTGGGCTGAGGGAGCTGCAGGCTGGTAGGGGAGTGAGAGCCCGCCCAGGCCCCAGGGACCCTCTGCTGTGGGAGGCAGGACTGCACCGCGCTCCGCTAGGACAGGGGCTTCGGAGGAAGGAGGCTAAGTCCTTATAATCAGAGGGGCAGCTAAGACGCATCCTGGGGCTCCCCATCCCTCTCTTCCTGCAAGGCAGGGGTGGGATGGCACCCCCTCTCCCTTTCCTCCTGAGAAAGGATAAAGAGAAACTGTAATTTTCCGTGGGATGGGAGGAGGATCCGTGTGGGCGTACGCTAGGAAGGGTTAAAAAAAAAACCCACCTTGTTTATTAACAATAATAAATTTTTTTTCAAGTGGCGCTGGGTGTCAGGGGAAGGGAAGGGCTGTGGAGCGAGTCTGGAGCAGGAGGCTGGAATTACGCAGTTAGGCGAGTTTAATGACCTTTTTGACAGAGACAAAGCGGTGCCGATACAGTAGATAAATAAACCGGGTCTGTCACAGGCAGCGGCTAGGCTGTGTGTGAATTTATTTTTCTCATTTAAATAATTTGATCCATTCCATCATTCCCAATCTCTCCCATTTGCCAGCTGTCTGGTAGGAGCATGGCCCCAGCATCTGAAAAGCAAATCTTTAATTTTCTTACAAATAGGCTATGAGTGGAGCTCTATGGGGTCTATTAATTTCCCTGTCTTTTCTCTCCCATCCTGTGTGCGCATAGGGGACCGGGGCATTGCGTGGGGATGTGGATACTGCAGTGTGGCCAATCCTGCCAATTAAGAGGGGACTCCTCCACTCCCACCCCCACCCTCACCCCACATCCCCACCTGAAGTGGCTGTGAGAGGAGGAGGAGAGATTCCCGGGGCTCTCTGCTTAAGAAGAGAAAGGTGTGCTGGTCTTCAGGCCCCCCCTCAAAGATCTGCCTGCAAAGGGGGTGGTACCTGTGGTTTGGCTTTACCAGACTTGGGCCTTCCTCACCCTTGAGCAGGAACGGCTGGGTTCCCAAGCAGCCACTGGAAAATGGTACCCAAGAGACCAGAGGGAAGGACCTGCAGACCAGAGCCAGGGAAGCAGCAGCTGCCACCTCTTGATAGAGAGGAACTCCCCGCAGTAGGCACCAGCAAGCAGGAGCACTGGAGAGGAGCAGAAGGCCTGTCCTCTGGGGGGAAGCTGGAGGAGCCTCTTCATTCAAGACTGGACATCTCACCTCCATCACCTCTCAGCCTCCACAGCTGTGTTAGTTGCTCTGAGGAACCCAGAAGTCCAGGCTGTTCTTGAAAGAACATCCCGGTGCCCTGAGGGGGTTGGGGTGGGGGTGGAAAGGGGATGGACAGCACCTGAACTCAAGGCCTAAAAGGGCTAAGTCACCATGGTGCTCAAGGGCGGTGAGGGGATGGGGAGGGGGGAAGCCTGGATACTAGTTCTGTTTGGGTTGTCTGTCCTGCAGGCAGTCTCTAGCCATAGGAGGGGCAGGGGGCAGGGAACAATGGCCTGGCTGAGATACTGAAGAAGCAGAGGATAGAGGTGTGACTCCAGGGAGGGACAGGTCTGCAGCCCAGGGGGAAAGGCCAGTGGGAGGGAGAGATGAATGTGGGAGCGGGAAGAAGAGAAACAACCTCCAAGAAAGCAGCAGAAGAGCAGTATTAGAGAAGTGAATGGATAAAGGTGGGGGTGGGGGGTGGGGCTGAGGCCCTGTCACCTAGGGGCCCCTGACCACCCCCAGGGAAGCAGCATGGGCTGGACCTTGCCCTTTGGCACTTCAGAGTGGGCAGGCGTTTGCCTGCACTGCGTGGAAGGAGGCTCTCCTCTGCTTCAGTGGGGAACAGCCTCCAGCTGCAGGGGCCCTGGGCTCAGCCGCTGGGCCTGGCAGCCAGCTGGAGCCTGGGGCCGGAGGGAAGCCGGCTGCCCCCAGCCCAGGGCTGGGCCTTCTTCTGGAACTAGCCGCAAGCCTTTGTGTAACACAGAGGCCTCCCGGACTGACAGCAGCCTGCTCCTCCCAGTGGGGCAGAGGGTGGGAAGCTTTGTAGCAAAAACAACAGCAATGATGATGACGGCCACCGGTATCTATTACATGTTTTCTATGTTCTGGGTGACATACTCAATGCACCTTGCATGCATCGCTCCATCTAACCCTCTCCACAGCTGGCTGTGATAGGACCTGTGTGCTGTTTGCATTTTACAGATGAAGACTCTGAGCCTCAGATAGATATTAGAGGTACAAAGTCACAAGCTGGTACAGTATATGACCTTCCTTTCCTCCCTCCCTCCCGCCTTTCTCTCTTCCTGCCTTCCTTTCTTCCCTTTTTCCCTAACTCCTTCCCTCCCTCCCTCTCTTCCTTCCTTCCTTTCTTTCTTCCCCTTTTCCCTACCTTCTTCCCTCCCTCCCTCCTTGCTTCCCTTCCCTCCCTCTTTGCTTTCCTCTTTCCTTCCTTTCTTCCTTCCTTCCTTCCTTCCTCCTTTCCTTTCTTCCTTCCTCTAATATTGATTGGCTATCACTACCAAGCGCTCTCTGCGGTGAGGAGCCAGTATATACAGGCAGGCCTACCTGCCTCCTAAGTTTTTAGGCTTGACCCCCATCCTGCATAGGCTGAGGGGGGACAGGCTCTCAAAGAAGATCCCGTCCCCTGTCCCCTGTCCCCTCTGCTGGAGGCCCCCCGGGGCTTCTGGCTGCTTGTACAATAGAAAGGAAAGGCTCAAGTAGCATAGAATTGAGCCCTTTACTGGAGCCAACTGGGGAGCTCCGTAGTCCCTGGAAGCCTGCAGCCCTCTCTCCCTGTCTCATGCGCCTGCCCAGGCTGTCCTGCCACCAGCAGGCACCAGAACTGGCACAATCTCAAGCTTCATCTCTGGGGACTGGGAGCCACCAATCCTGGCTTTTCAAATTGTTGGTAAACAAGTCTACCCACCAGCCAAGCCTGGGCTTCTCACTCCCCCAGGAGGCAGCCAGCGCTGGATTTATGAGGCCTCCAAACCTCATTCAGACTAATGCAGCTTTTCATCCCAAAATAAAAGGGGCCGCTGTCTGAAAGGACAAGTACTCCTGCATTTCATTAACATCTTAAAAAAAAAAAAAAAAAAAAAAAAAAAAAAAAAAAAACCACGCAGCAGAGCTGGCCCAAGTCACTGCCAGCCAGATTCATGTCTCCTACCAGCTCACAGGTGGGGGTAAGTGGAGAAGGCTGTGGCCTCTCTGGGCCACTCCCAAGCCCCTCCCCCAAACCCTTCTCCCCCCCCCCCCCCCCCCCCCCCACGCCTCACCCTCAGCTTCTGTGGGGGCAGGGCAGGGTGGGGTGGGGAGTGTAGTGGTGGCCAAGCAGGCTCACTGGATGAGTCCCCCGTGTGCATGTTTTGTTAGACTCATCCACTCCGGCTCTCAATCCCCCCACAATCACCGTGAGTGATGAGGCCCTGGGCTCGAGTTACCGAGATTCATGATCTCCGCTTCCCTGGGAAACCAAGGAGCACAGGCGTGCGGTTAGCCCAGTGCAGATTCCTAGGACTTGAGTGCCCTCTGCCGAAGCCTGCCTACCTTCCTCTCCCTTCAGGCTGCCCGGTGGGCAGGCTGCCGGTGGTGGCTGGACGCTGAAGCCAGGGGCCTCCGGCCACTCTCCTGATGTCCCGGAAGCAGCCTGCACCTTCAATGCTGTGCCTTGGTGTGAATGGGGGGAGAGGTTCTCTCACCCCCATCTCATCCTGGAGGGGTCCAGGACCAGAAAGAGGCAGCTGCCGGCTGCCTGGTCTTTGCTAACTGCCTGAGCAGGGAGGAAGAAGAGGGGCCTCCCTCGTACCTACTCTTAACAGCATTCTCTCCCCATCAGAGTTCGTGCCAATCGAAGGAGCCAGCCTTAGCCCCCTTCACAGGATACTGTGACCTGCCCCTGGGCCCAGGGACAGGGACATTTTTAACAGCCTGGGGCCTTTGTCCTCATCCCTGTCCCAAGAAGGAAGAAGCAGGGCAGTAGCTGGCTGCCACTTGAGCAAACCACAAGCCCAGTGCAGACTGCATCACCTTAGATTTTTGTCAACAGTCCAGCAAGTTCATTCCCTCTGAAGTCAATTCCTGTGTTTATTGTTAGCTTAACTGGCTGCTGGGAGTTATTTCTCAGCAGTGAGGGCGACAGGTAGACAAGCCACCAGAGATACGTTACTTTACTGACATCTGCGTTTCAATAGTCCGGGTGCAGTTCTGGTGGCGCAGTAAATGATACATGGCAATCCTGTTTGTATCCATACATAATGGAACAGTCGCCGGTGGTCTGGGAGCCAGCCGGCAGGGTTTTGCTGCTGTAGGGGGAGGGGAGGACTGCCTGCAGAAAAACATCACCTGCCTCTCCCTCGCAGCGGGTTCCCTTACCAGAGTCACTTTTTCACTCGTTCAAGTCATTCAGTCATTCCCTGATTAATGTATTCATGCAATCAC